ATCATCCATTATCATGTGTAATCAATAAACGATTTAATTCTCTTGAATGGAATGACAACTGTATGGATTTGGGACTGGCAGAGATTTGGACTTCCCTACCCAATACCCCTGATAAATGTTGTTTGTTACCACAGTCCAAGTTCAAAGCTCTGCCAGCGTAGAAACCAACTGCTGGTTAATGCCACCCCTTGAGTCCAGAGATTAGAAGTGTTGGGGCATCTTATAAAACTGACAATTATTAGTAAGAACTCTTAATTGCCATAAGTGCAGGTTACAGTGAAGGAAAACTGCAGCTTAACTGGGTTGTGGGTGGGTATGCCTCAAGGTTTTAGTTCATCTGTTTAAAGTTTAAATTAGTAATGTAATCGACAATTTTTCTGTGCTTTTATTATTATAACGGCAGTTTTCCTTCACACTACTGTCCTTAAGTGTTAATTGTATAGAAATGAGTTCAAAACAGTTACTATTTAATAATTGTTATTTGTGCATAGATCCTTTTGAGCTTCCCATTTGCCCTTTTAAGTGCCATTGTACTGGGTAGCATAGATGTTTGTTTGCCATAGGACTGTGTACTCCAAATCATGGGTATATTGCTTGGAAGTTTTGGTGGGGGAGGGGGTGGGGAGGTGGGAAGTGGGGGTGGGGGAGCATGGATGGTAGCTCCATGATACTGGCTGAGTTTGCAATATCAGGCGGAACCTTAACTGTTGAGGGAGTTTGCAGATACCTCAGGAATCGGGAGAATGCCTTTAAAGATCCAGGAGATGTTCAGCTACTAGGAACTGCTAGCAAGCATAGCGCGAATGGCTCCGAGCTCAGAACCCGCAGCTGAGAGTAGACACTTTGTGGTATGTGGAGTACAGATAAGCCAGGGGCAGGCCACGACACCTCCCTGAGAGCTAGGAGGGAGTGAAGTTTGAGTGACCACCGCAAGGAAGGAGGCAGACGAGAGTAAGGCACACCTGACTCTTAGGACTAGCAGTCAGAGCCAGAAGGAAAGGTTTATTGCTATGCTGCTAGGTAAGAACAGATTTTACTTACATCCATATAGTTGTAAAGTCCAATTTTCTGTTGGATTTCTTGTAATATATTGAGCCAAAACTAGTCCAATTAAGCTACACTTGGTTTTTCTGGAGATGAATTATTTTAATTAATGCCCTATTAATCCTACTTGAAGGAAGTAAACACATTTCTATTGTGAAGATGCATTTGGCCCTTTAATTTTATTTAACCGTCCTTTGACCCATTTCCTTAAAGCAATGGCTCAAAGTAATATTAGACACATTACCCCAAGATGGTGGGAGGGTGGGTGGATTGTTAATGGGAGGGGGTGGGGGTAGCTTAAAGATGGGAATTGGCCTCAAAAGGCTAGTTCTAAAGGTTGTTTACTTTTCTAGGGAGGAATCTGCTACAAGGCTTAACCGCTGTTGTAAAAAAATTTTTTAAAAGACAGAAGTTGTTGGCTAAAAGGTAAGTTTTTGTGATCTGTGATTTTTTTTTTTTTTTTTAAGCTGCACTTTAAAACCAAGAGGTGTTATTACCAGGAGTATATACAATTGTGGAATTCACTGGGTAGAGCTGCATAACTTTTTTTTCCTCCCTTGCAGGAACATCCTTAAGAGAGCAGCCTTTATTCTGGGCCACTGTACCTCATTCTCACTGCCATGCAGTTAGGTTTTAGCTACATTGCTGAACATCATTCAATTTTGTGGATGGCTACTTTTTTTTTTTTTTTTTTTTTTTTTTAATAAATTGTTTGATGAACTTCTGTTTCTTGTCTGACTTTGTGGCATGGAGCTTGATTCTAGGTTCTATCCCACTTCCAAATTTGAGCTTGGGAAATGGCTGTTTATGAACTAGAGACTCTTGAGTTAATAATCTGGACTAGAGTCCCTTATATTAAATTTTAGATGCATCTGTTAATGTATTGGGATATGAACTATTAAGTTCCCCAAGAACCTTTCAAAGCTGAATCACGGGGTTTATTCCTGGAGAACTTTACCTCCAACCTGTTCCTTTTACTGCCTCCAGCTTTTTTTTTTTTTTTTTCTGTAGCCTTTCCTGTCCTGGAACTCTGTAGACCAGGCAGGCCTCAGACTCACTGGTCTGCCTGCCTCTGCCTCCATCTTAAAAGGGAAAACTAAAAACAGCATAAATGTTAGACACAAGAAAAACATCTTCATTGTTTTTGAAGGCTGTGCTGAAACTGGGGTCAGCCTGTCTGCCCCCAAGTGCTGGTATTAAAGGTGTGTGCCTCCCAATTTGGGTTTAGACAGCCCTGGACTCTGAATTTGTAGGTCAAAGATCCAACTGCTGAGATTAGAGGCCTGCACCGCCACAACCTCCAGCACCCAGTTTTTGTTTTGCAACAAAGTTTCACCCTATAGCTGAGGCAACCCTGCCTGTACTTTGGGATTAGAGGCTTTCATTGTGCTGATAACTTTGTATTCAAAGTTAAAAGACATTTTGAGCTGGATGTGTGGCACAGGGTTGCAGTTCTACCGCCCATCAAACATCAAAGGGACACCTTTAGGCTCCTGCACTAAAATGGTATGTACATTTAGTCACATAAACTGAACATCAAAAAGGCTGGGTATGGGGACATCTTTAGTTCCAGCACTCTGAAGACAGGCAAATTTATGTGTGAAGTGGAGGCCCTGTCTCACAAGGTGGAAATGCTGGCCCACCTTCATTGCATACCTGAATGGAGCAGGTCTTACCAAGGCTTGGTGTGCAATGTTGCAAATCTAATCAAACTCATTCCAGTTAGGAACAGTCCCTTGGCCTTCAAAAGCTCTCTGGCCTATCAGATCTAAGGTAAGCAGGACAAAAAGCATTTGTGAGAGTTCTATCTCCAGAAACCTTCCACAGGATGGAGCCAGCTTTGGCAGCTCTTGGCATTTATGAATTGGGGCCACCGAGGACTGGGGTTCCTCATAGCTCCTAACTGGAAAGAGGGTTGAAGATGGGTAGGTTATGTTGCTCGCGCCCAAATTTCTTAAGAGCTTAAGATTTCCCTTCCCCCAACAAACTGGTTCCTGAGACAGTTTGGGTCTATCACCCTCAAAGACGACACATGGAGAGCTATTTCTGCACAGCTCTTTATGGGAAGTTAGCACTCACCTGGCCTCCAGGTGAGCCTCAACAAGCACACCTTGGAAATTCCAAATGCCAAGGTTGCATCTGCCCTCTTGTTCTGGGGGTGGGGGTACCTTTATCAGAAGGGAATGAGGGAGTCCCTAGCACCAGTGTCTGCCTCTCTAGGCCAGCTCAATCTGTGGCCTCCATCTTCGTCCCACGGGGTACCAGAAAGATGGCTCCATCAGCAGCCTGTTGTAGTACATATTCCTCTGGTGAGTAACTGTTGCCGGATTCATCACGAAGATGCTGGAAAATGTCATGGTACAGCTCTGCCAGCTGTTGGCGCATGACCTCCAGAGTGCGGTCGGCCTCACCGCGGGCTCTGAGAAGCTGCTCCCTTTCACTGCCCAGCCGCTCCAGTTCCCGCTCCAGCTGCACAATGGTTTCCAGTTTTCTCTTGCGACAGTTCTGGGCCGCCACCTTGTTCTTGCCCCGCCGTCGGATGTCCCGGACTAGAGCCAGTTGGCTCTCCGTTAGCGGGTACTGTGCCAACAGCTCATTAAAGTCGTCTACTGGCAGGTTGACGATCTGGTCCGTAGGGAAGGGAATCTTCATGGCCAGGGCCCGCCGTTCGTCCCGGCTCCCCGCCTCCCCACGGACAGCAGACTTCGCTCGCCCAGGGCCGGCGGACTCTATGGCCAGGGGTGTCTCAGTGGGCGGCAAAGAATAGTTGGGGTGGGCCAACGAGTTAGGCATCAATGAGTAAGTGTACTCCCCCGGGTACAGGTCCACATAGTCGCTCCGCCGTCTGCCAGCCTCTGCGCCTTCTAGCTCAAGAGATTCCGCGTCACTGTAGTTGAGGGATAATCCTGAGTCAGATTCCGGGTCTTCTTGGGGCTTCTGTTGTCCCACCGGCAGCCCAATGTCCAAGAGAGCTAAGGGTTCTGGGAGGGGCTCGTGGAGCAGGCCTGAAAGGGTGAGTGGCTTCGACACCGGTATGCCCATGTTGCCATAGGAGTATGGGAGGTCTGGGACATGGGCAGTGGGTGTTGGGAGCTCGTATGGTGGCGGTGGGAGGGAGAAGCCTGCATCTGGATGAACCGAGCAGGGGCAGTATGTTGGAGGTGGCAGTGGCCCAGGGTATGTGGTGGGTGCTTGGGCCTCAAAGGATGGCTCACTTGGAGCGTTCAGACCCTGCAAAGAAAGAAGAGTTTAGAAGATAGACTGGGCTGTGCTGGTGCATGCCTTCGATCCTAGCATTCAGGAGGCAGGCCAATCTCTGAGTTCCAGGCTAACCTGGTCTACAGAGTCAGTTCCAGCATAGCAAGGACTACATAGAGAAGCCGGGTCTGGGACCTGGTAGCACACACCATTAACACCAGCACTCTGGAGAGAGGAAGAAAAAAGTAGTGAGGAGGAAAAAGGCAGTTTAAGCAGGAATAAGTAGTCACTGTGTTGAGACCTCAAAGAAGACAACCTCACAGTGAAGACATTGAAGTATTTATTGTCTCCTCACAAGTAGAAGCTCTTACTGGGCCAAATGGCTCCTGTTCCTTTATTCTCTTCAGGAAGACAAAGCTATTATCAAAGATGGACCCTCAAAACCTTTTCCTGCTGTGGTTATCTAGGGTCAAAGGGTCAAATTCAGAGCCCTGCCATTCCCTGGGTGCCCAGCAGAGGGAGCGAGTGTGCGGAAGGAGGGTCTAGGGCAGATCCTAAGGCTGTCAGGCCTGAGGTGGGGGCAGGCTAGGGTTAGCCCTCTGTCCAAGCCCAGGTGCACTGAAGAGGAGAACACATGTCACAGACAAGGCCCCCACTTACGTAGGGGAGCAATCCTGCCCAAGTCCAGCTGAGGACAAAGGCACCATTGTTAGACCAACAGACACCCCTTTGTCCAACATTCAGGAAGAGAGGACCCCGGCAGTCTCTCTCCCTTTCTGAGGCCCTTTAACTAAGACTCTGCTACCTGGAGGAAAAAAGTTTGTTGCTAAGGGTGAGGGGTGGTAATGAGGGAAGATGGGCAGTGCTGGAAGAAAAGCAGATCAGATGAGAAGATAAAAAGAGAGGGGCAGAGCAGCTGGACAGGAGCCCACAGCCTCAGCCAGATCCTTCCCTTCCCCCAGTGTCCCTCATTGCCCCCTCTACTCTGCCTCTGTCCAGGCCAGAGCCCCTACCTCCCTAAGGGCCCATCCCACACTCACCTGAAGCTCAGTAATGGACATGATCTCTTGCCAAGTCAGTTCCATGTCTCCCAGCTGTGACAACCTGTTCCTGTTCTGCTGAGGAGAGCACGGGCGCATCCTACTGTGCCAGCTGCTGGCCCCAGTCACCCCGAAGCATAAAGGGCTCCAGCAGCCTATGTTGAAGGAAGAAAAGTGTTAGAGTAGCTCCTGCCAGATGGAAAGCTTATCCTGTCCCTGTGCAGAATCTCCTGAGCATTGTCAGTAGACCACTCCTGCCATCAACCACCCTGTAGAAGGTCTTTTCACCCGCTGGGCACAGTCAGTCCTCTGGGCACACAGTAGGCATCTTTACTTTTTCTCAGACAAGATGCCTTCTCTTACTCCCTAGAAATGGTGTTTCTATCCAGAAACAAACTCCAATCTTTTGAGGCTTTGGGATTGAAGTTTAGCTCTCTTTCTGGATGAAAACATCAAGAGTCATCCTTGCCTTCCTCTTGGGTCCTCAGTTTTAGGGTCTGAGCCTTTTGTTGTTTTTCTGAAACAGGGTCACAGCATGCATCTCTCACTGTCCTGGAACTCGTTGTATGACCAGACCTCTAACTTATCCACCTGCCTCTGCCTCCTAAGTGCTGGAGTCAATGGTGTGTGCCACCACACCTAGTACTTCAGCCCAACCTTTTCTTCCCAAGATGTGAGTGCTTGGGATCCCCAAGGAGTGTGTTGTGGGAAGTGCCAGGCAGACAGGCCTCCCCTTCTCTGAGATAGGGCCCAGGCCTGCTGGTGATAGCAGCCCTTCCCTCTCCTCCCATGCTTACTCTGGGCTGCCCTGCTTAGGCCAGATAAGAGGTTTATCAGCTGCAAGCAGCAGAGGAATGGGCTCCAGGAGACACTGGACCTCTACCCTGTATCCCAACCAGGTCACGCGGCCATGTCCCTCCCCACATAACCATGGCCCCTTTTTCTTCCAAGGTCAACACACAACAAAGATTTAGCAAGCACTTGTCAAGAATTGTGCTGGTGTTTTAAAAGCATAGCTTATCAGCCTGGGCTTCATAAAGACCCTGTAAAGGGGTAGGAGGCATACACTGAAGCCCAAGCTGAGAAGTGGCAAGTTAGAACATGATCACATTCCTTACTGCTTTCTAGGTCCCTTGGTTCCCAAGGTTCTGGCTGTCCACAGTCCATACCGCTATAGGCAGTCTACCTCAGCACATTCCCATAATGTCTCAGACTCTTTTCTGAGCAATATCTCTTTGAGCCCTCAAGTACTGTCCATCCTTCCTTTACAGCCTCTTCTTCTTCTTCTTCTTCTTCTTCTTCTTCTTCTTCTTCTTCTTCTTCTTCTTCTTCTTCTTCTTCTTCTTCTTCTTCTTCTTCTTCTTTTGATTTTGATTTTTCAAGACAGGGATCCTCTGTGTAGGCTTGGCTGTCCTAGACTTGCTTTGTAACCAGACTGGCCTCAAACTGACAGAGATCTGCCTGCCTGTGCCTCCTGAGTGCTGCTGGGATTACAGGCGTGCACCACTGAGCCCGGCTTCAGCCCCCTTCTTTGTCTGGGCTCTAGCTTCAGCTTTGCCACAAAGCAGCAGTGTGGTGTTGGGCAAAATACCATACTGTTCCTGGTCAGTTCTCCCAGTTGTAAAGCCAGGGGGTTAAACAACTTAAACTGGGAGAATCCCTTACTGCCTGGACAGTCTCTGCAAACTCTTGCTGTCATCATCTCCTCTTGGTCTACTTCTCTCTTCATCCTGCCTCCATATTCCCTGATACCCATTTCTATGTGAATCTGTTTCTTTGTGTCCAAAAGTAGAGTCCAAGTAGACTTGGCAAGGTTCTCCTGATTTCTCAGGACCAGACACAGCACAGCATGTACATATATGTACAACCACACTACACGCCATATAAATAAAGGAAGCATCTTGCAGAAGACCAGTTGATGGGGCTGGATGACCTCCGATTGTATGAGTTTACATCACCCACCACAAAGATAGACCATTCCTGCTATTCATTACTGAGACCCCTCTTGGACCCACCACAAAATGTACAGCCACTACCAAGTGTCCTTTTAACAGCTGATCTGCCTGAGGCCCTGCCTCCACCCTCTGCCATCCCCAGAAATAGGAGTTGATATAGGCACAGGCCTTTGACCAATAGGTAGAATGGGTGGGGTGTTTTTGTCTGTCCAGGATGCCATTTCAACACCGGAACTCCACCCTCCCCACCCAGGTTCTGACGGAAATTGCCCAAAGGCAGAGTGAATGAAGAAGGAGTTTGGGGATGGGTAGGCCTATATATGATTGCCTCGTAGTTCTTCATCCACTGTACCTCTCTCTGTCTCTTCTGTCTTCCTGGGTCTGAATCTGAGGTGCAATACGAAGATCTTACCCTAGCAGGCAAGGTTCTCCAGTCTTCAAGACGACCTTGGACAAATTGCATCACAGTCTCGTCTCCAATTAAATGGAGACAGGACTAGAGAACCTCTAGCTCTGTGCTGTGAGAGGGAACAAACCTTACTACATTCACCTGGGATATATGGAAAACATTCCTGAAGGCCATCCAGGCTGGACTGAATTCATGTGTAGCTGTCTAAGAACAACAGTGCCCTAGACACTGAGGTGAGAGGCCAATCTTACCGCAAGAAACACACAGCTAGAAGAATTTGCAGGAACAAAACACAAAGTCAGAAAATAGAACAGCAAATGCTCCACAGTCTTCATCTAGCTACAAACCCATCTAGCTACAGGCTAGACTATCATCCCTTTCCCATAAAGAAATGGAGGTAGGTCTCCTCCCTCTTTCTGGGACAAGAAAATGAGAGGGCAGATGGGGCAGAAAGAGGCTAGAGGCTGAGAAGAAGCTTATAAAGGAAATTACTGGACCATTGGTTTGCATCAGGCATAGGCCCTTTGGGTCATGGGAGCTTTCCTTTCAGAGGGCCAGCAAGCTTATAGCCAGTAGGACAGACTAGAAGCCAGACAAATAGAACAGCAGAAAGGGTACTGAAAAGAGGCAGGGAATGTGGGCTAGGCTTCCAGGGGCCCCTGTCTTCAGCAAAAGCAGCTCTTGTTGTACAGTTTAGAGCTCCTCTTCAGGTTGTACAACTACTGAAGCCACATGGCTGGTTATTCTTTTTAGTCCTTAACACTGTGGATCAGGTAGAATTTGAACCAACTGCAGAAACTAACTTTTATCTTTCCTATTCCCTCTGGTAATTCTACCCACTCTGTTCTCTCTTCCTTTCTCCCTCATTTTTCCCTCCCTCCAGACCAACCCAGAGCCTTGAGTGGTAGAGTGCCAGGCCTACCACTAAGTTACATCCTTAGAATCTTCCAAAAAACTCATGATCCCTAGGACTTCACAGAATATTAAGGTTTCTGACTAAGGATACGGAATCATTTGGAGAGGTGGGAAAGGAAGATATTTTAACTTCCACTGCTAGCTCAGGACTTTTAACTTCTTTAACAGGGAGTTTGCCTCAGGGTGCTTCATTGAGGCTTGTTAGGTTACTCCATCTTTCCTGGTATCAACACAGACAATGGAAGGATTAGGGAGATATGAGTAAAACTTGGTGTGTAAATCACCAGGTAAGCAACCTAGTTACAAAGATTAGGGAGAACTTCCCAAAACTGAGAGGCACCCAGAGGTGAAACAGAGAAACCAGTAGAATGAAGAGGGAAGAAAAAAAGATTTGAGCCATGAGAGCTTAGGAACATGCATGACTCCCCAGGAACATGCATGACTCACGTGACGCTTGGGAACAAATTTCTGCTCTCCTGTGACATTATCCCTAGAACCTAAACTCTGGTTTGTTGGAAGCAGTAAGTAGAGGCTGCAGCCCAGGAGGGCTTCTCTCCTGTAGCCCTTCAACCTCCTGCTACAAGCAGCCCCGGATTCCCATAGGAGCATTTTCACTGGGGTTGAATGTCCTCCTCTTTGCAGGTTCATCTTAGCTTTACTGCCCCAGGACTGCAGAGGGGCAGAGGCAACCAGCAAGAACTCAATTCATCCAGTCATCTACCTTTGCTGTAGCAAGGCTTCTCAGAAATCCAGACATCCAACAGCTACTGTTCCTTTGTTTCTCCCAAATCTTGGATGGCTGGGGCTGCAGAATATTGTGGGAAGGGTACAGGGTAGTACCATATTACTGGAGCCTGCTACCTCCACCAGGCAGGAGGCCATGAAAGGTTCCTCCTAGTCATTCTCCTGCTCCTCCTGGGTGCCTGTGGTCCCCACCCCAAGGATCCCAGAATATCCAGAAAGCCATCCAAAATTATCTCCAAACTGTCTCCAAGTAGTATTACCCCAAAGTTATCAGTTCCCTACACGAGGGACAGTCTAAGAAGATGTCTTAGAAACATCCAGACAAAAAGGTAGGTGTTCCTCTCAGCACCTCCTCCACCTGCCCAGCCTGCCCTTCCCAGAGCCCAGCGAGGCCTTTCTCCCCTACTCGCCTTTCAGGCACCTGTGGCGGATTCCAAGTCGGACAAGGAGAGAGATGAAGCTGCAGGTAGTGTCCCTGGGAGGTTTACTCAGAGCTGACAGCTCCCGAGCGCTGAGCGCTGCCTCTGAGCACCACCGAGGGCCGAGCCCCGCCCCCGGGCCATGGCTGGGCACGGAGCAGGGGTTGGCCCCGGTAGAAGCGGGCGCACTGCGTTCTCTCCCAAGCCCTCACCGGAGTTAGCAGTGTTTCCTCCACCCCTTCCCTTTCCCCCTGGCCCTCCTCTCCTTCTGCCCCTTCTGGCCAAGAGAGGAAACTTGAGCCCGGTGTGGTTTCTGCCTGCACCCCGCCCCCCTCGCCTCTCTAGGGCCGCGGGGGGCACCCGGTCCTCTCCAGCTGGTCCAGTACTGTGTGCTCCCTGTCTGGGCTGACTTCTTCACAGCCTATGGTCCATTCACAAGTGAGCCCTAATCTTCCAGGTGCTGGTTGTTAGGCACAGACAGGGAAACTGAGTCATAGTAAGGCAGAGGACCACGTGTCTGAGTCCAATCTGCCTAGGGTAACATCCTTCACTTGTAGAGAGCCTGAGCTCCAGGGAGGTATTTTGGGGTGAAGGGTTGCTAGCTGCTTAAAGGTATTCTCTTACATGTAGCCTCTCCACCTCCCACCCACCCCGGCCTCAGATGCTCTAGAACAAAGGCTTCTTTTTGGGCCACGTTTATTTATTTATTTATTGCCAATGAGTCTTTAGGTGGGAGGCTGTCCTGTCGGAGGATGATTATTAGTCGCCCTAAAAGGGACCTTCTTTCTTCCTGACCAGAACCTGTGAGTAACACTAGGTTCATCCCCAGGTACACACAGCTACGAGTCAGGCCAGTGCACCCTCCCAGAAGTCTCATCCTCCAGTAGCTGCAAGTTCTCTCTGGAAGGAAAGTCTGCCTTCCTCCTCAGTGTTAGTGTTTTTCAGGTTATTTCGTTCGTTTTGTAATAGGGTCTTTTGAGATGGGGTAGCCAAGGCCAGCCTGTCCTCTTCACCTCCACAGTGCTGGAGTTGTGGGCACGCTCACTGTGTCCACTTTAGTAACTTTCAGCTCAAGGGAGCTACACCCTTTTTGTCTAACTTAGGCTCTGATTAGTGCATCTTACACTTTTTCTCTATTATTTTCCTCACTGATATTCAACTTACTTTGGAAACATTTACAGATCAGAAGCAAGCTGGGTTTGGCAAAAGACCTCTAACCCCAGCACTCAGGAGGTGGAGGAAAAAAGAGCAGTATCATCCTTAGCTACTTAGTGAGTTTGAGACCAGCCTGCAGTACATGGGACCCTGTCTCTGAAAAACAAAACAAAGCGAACAAGGGAAAACAAAATAAAATAACAAAATAGGCAGGAAGCAGAGGAGTGGCTACTCCAGGGTAGCACTGTCATTCGGCAAGCCCTTTGGCTCGGACTTTGCTTGCTATTAGAAAAATGGGGATATCTGTCCTGGAGCATGAACAGCAGCTGCTGGGAGCTCCCCAACTGTTCCATCACACAAACCTCCTCTCTGGCCGCTCTAATTCTCCCCACTGTCCTCCACAACCTGGCAACACAGTCAAGCCAGTAATGATGCTGATATCACAAGTAGCCTCCCGTCAAGCTAGCGCGGCTGAGATTGCTCACACTCAGCCAGACCCAAGGCGGAGTGCTCTGCATTCCATCCGGATCACAGGCCCCCACAGCTGCACGGCATGGTTCATGTGGGACAGGAGGTAAGCCAATGACTTCACAGCATGTGGGATGGGGCTGACTTTAGGTCACACACATGCAGTCGCACACTTACTTGGGTCCTCACAGGGGATAGGAGGTAGTGATGGCCACACACACACACATATATGCAGTTGGTTATATACTGATATAAGGTTACAGACAGTCTACGAACAATGTGTGGCATTTCAGATACGTACATAGACCTTCACCTTAATTCATTCAAAAATATTTCTTTCTACTCCAGAAATACAAATATGACTAAGAATGCCCATGTTTTCACACAGTCTGATGTATAGCCCGTGGACATGATGACACATACCTGAAAACCCAGCACTTGGGAGGCAGAGGCAGGAAGACAGAGATGTTTTGGTTTGGTTTGGTTTGGTTTTTGGTTTTTTTTTTAGACAGGGTTTCTCTGTGTAGCTTTGGTGTCCTGGACTTGATTTATAGACCAGGCTGGCCTCTTACTCACACAGATCCACCTGTCTCTGCCTCCCTGAGTGCTGGGATTAAAGGAGTGTGCTGCTGTGCCCAGCTAAAAGGCAGATTTTAAGGCCAACTTGGGCTACATAGTGAATTCTAAGGCAGCATGTGATACATAATAAAAGACTGTTTAAAACAGAAAAATGCTGGGTGTAGTGGCACATGCTTATGAATTCAGGATTTATGGAGCAAAGACAAAAAAAAAAAAAATAATCACTGCAAGTTCCAGACCAGCCTAAGCTCTACATTAAGTTCCAGGTGAGCCACGGCTACATAGTAAGACTGTCTCAAAAACAAAACAAAATAAAACAAAACCAAATGTCTATATTAAGCCCTAAGGAATGAAAGAAATAAATTCTACTTAGTGAAATTCTAGCAAGGCTTTCCAGTGAATCTGGGCTATAGAGAAAGAAGGAAAGAGTAGTCTGGCAAAATGAGTATACTGAAGCATAAAATATAGATATTTTGAACTTCCTGGAGTAGGCTTGAGGTGACAAGTAAATGACAAGCCTAAGGACCTCAGGGACTGGGGATGTCACCTAGTGGCAAGCTGTCCCAGACCCTGGGATCTGGGATAGGGAGGCCTATGAAGTTTGGCAGGGGCTGAAGAACAGGGAACTCTGAGAATCAAACCAGAGAGAGTGTGCTCTCTCCTGCAGGCCCGCCCTGAAGCTTTTAAAGTCTTTTTACTCCTTATTTGTTGGGGTGTGGCCAGGTATGATGAGCTAAGTGGGCAGCCTCCAGCCCCTGTTCACCTCACCCCCTCCTAAGGTGGAGCTGTGTTCTGCCTCCAGCTCACCTCACCCCAGGGAGAAGGGGATTTCCTTTATCTCCCCTCTCCCAGATTCCTTATGTCCACCCAAGTCTCTTTTGCTTGACTTACAATCTGCAGGGTGTAAGGAAGGTGCTCCCTGAGTGGGCTGCTTAGACTTGGCCAAGTAACAGTCAATAAGATTTTCCTGCCTCCAAAACGCTTCACTTCAACAAAGGTAGCAGGGACAGAATGCGGACAGGACAGAGGCCACATCGCTTTCCCATTTTCCATTTTTGCTACTCACCTACCCCTAAATGGTTAAGCTGTCACCCCTGTCCACCCCCACTCCGTGTGTGCACACCACCTTCAGCATCAGGTCAAGCCACAAGCCGTGTTGCCAAACACACCACTGGATTATGCAACCAGCTTCCCGAGAAGGGTGAGCAGGGCGGGGTGGGTAGAGGTGGGACCAGGGGAGGGCCGTGGGTCCCACAGGGAACTGGCTGCCTTGCCGGCTTGCCTACTGGTGTGACCGCAGTGGCCCCAGAGGGCGGGGATAGGACTGGCCTTTTATCAGTGCCCCACAGCATTGCGCCCGCCACCCCCTGGCTTCCTCTCTCAACAGACGGAAAGGGAGGCAGCCACAGGGGGCCAGGGGGAGGGCTGGGCGTTATCCTACGCAGCAGAGCAGGGCGGTTGCCCAGATGGGGGAGGTGGGGAAGGACGCTGGGACCAGGAAACAGTGAAGCTCCCCTTGCTGAAGCCGGGAGTGGGGGTAGTCTAAACTGATGCTAGGTAATGCAGTATAGTCAGGCCGCTGGGTCATTAGTTATTTTCCTTGTGTTCCAGTTTAACTGAGGATGGGGTTTTCCCAGTTTCTTAGAGGAGGCCCTTTCCTCAAACAAGAATTCTCACAGGACTCACTCTGAGGGCAAGGGGTTCTCCTCTCAGGCTGAAATAGCTGGAGGCTTCCCAGGGCTGGTGTCAGTTTCCCTGGGTTTGGCATCTAGGATTTTCTAACGCTAGGCTCTGCTAGCAAGAATCCTAGAAAAATAAAAAGGCCTTGGAGCTTAACTCCAGCTAGACTCAGAAGAAATAGGTATCCTAATACAATGAGGATTAGGTTTTCTTTTCCTTCTTTCTGCTATCTTTTTTTTCCCTTCCTTCCTTCCTTCCTTCCTTCCTTCCTTCCTTCCTTCCTTCCTTCCTTCCTTCCTTCCTCCTCCTCCTTCTTTTTTTTCTACACATTGTCTTGCTTTGTAGTCCTGACCTAGAGTTTAGTATGTAGCTCAGCCTGACCTTGAACTCTAGGCCCTGTTCTTAGCTCTGCTAGGATTGCAGGCTTCAGTTACCACACGAGCTGAGGACCACATCTTGATTTATTTTTTTTTTTACCCCCTTTTTGCTTTTCTCCTAGGATCTTGGATCTTTTTACCTGTGTTTCAATCCTGGCATTTATTATTGGCTGTGTGGCCCTGGGCAACATAACCTTTCTGCGCCTTATTTTAGAATGGGCATAATGTTATTAAAATATACTCTAGTAGCCAGGTGTGGTGGCACATACTTTTGATCCCAGCACTTGAGAGGTAGAAGCAGGTGGATCTCTGTGAGTTCAAGGCCAGCCTGATCTACAAATTGAGTCCAGACAGCCAAGAGCCACACAGAAACCCTATCTTGGAAACCATCAATCATCGGCTTTAGCAGGGTGAGTGCTGAATGCAGGGCTAAGTGTGTAGCTCAGTAGCAGAGCTCTTGCGTATGTGACGCCATAGGTTTGATCCACAGTTCTGCAAATAAAATAAAATTAAAATATAAATAAAATAAAACAAATCTCTGCTTCCTAACCACAGACACAATGGTGGCCATGGGGCCTCATGCTTTTGCTGTCTTTCTTCCTTAAATTCATTCTAAATTAATTAATAAAAAATAAACAAAATAGCTTATTCCTATTAGGAAATGAATGCTTAGATATCAGGAGGCTTTGGGGGCATCAGGAATTTAGAACACTCCGTCTAAAGGCCACACTGGTGAAGAAATACCTGGGGCAGCTGAAGGCAAGAGGCGGCCTGATTCGGGGGACCAGATGTAGTGTTGGCAGCTAGACTTCCAGGAAGTAGCCTCAGGCCGTAGCTCTCCCATACCAGCCCTGTTGGGAGGGGCTCATGCTAGTCACAGAAT